ACACCGTGTTCAGGAACTGCGTGACGCATGGGGCCAGAGGGTCGGCTTCGCCCGCGGACAGCTGCTGGGTGAACTGGCTGCGCAGGTGGCCGAGCCCATTCTCGAGGAGAGCACCAGGCCGCTGCCGAGCGATCCTGCGGAACAAGTCGCGCTTGATGTTCACGCCCTGGTAGCGATCGCGGCCCCCGAGGCGCTCCGTGTCGCTCTCCGCGCCGTCCTCCGCGTCGTCGTCGTCGCGCCCCAGGAGCGCAGCGGTCAACGCTGACGCCAGCCTGCTCTTCGATCCCGAGGCGCTGGCGCGCGCAGGGGCAGCAGCGGCGGCTCGGCCAGCTACCACCTGCGCCAGGCGCTCGCCCACGGCCCCTGCTGGGCGCGCGGCATTCTTGGGCGTGCCCTGCCTCGGCCCACCACGAGCGGCCTTGCCCCCGAGCCGCGCCAGCCGCGCCTCGAGCTCGGGGTCCTCGGCGGTCTCCTCGAGCCCAGCAAGCTCCTGGTCGAGCGGGCTCGTATCTCCTGGTCCGCCAGGGGTCTGGGTGCCCTCCACCTCGCGGGCTCGCTTGCGCGGTGGCCCGCGAGGCTCCTCCTCGTCCTCGTTGGCCCCGTCCCCGAGCGGCCATCCGCCGAGCTCTCCAGGCATCGGCTCGGCCGAGGGCGCGTCGGCCAGCACAGGCGCTCCAGGGTCCGCGGCCGGGCAGATGAGCTTCGCCTGCTCGCGGGCCACATCGCGGGGGTCCACCACCTGCCACACGTCCAAGTGCTCGACTACTGCGCCCACTGGGGCGACCGCCCCGCACTCGGCGGCGCTGCACTTGCAGAGGTGGAAGACCGTGGCCAGGGGGCGCGCGCCCTGCTGCCCGGAGGAGGCTGCATACCATGAGAAGTACGGGTCGCTGGCGCCCACGTGCCGGCCCTTGAAGAAACGGCCGAAGGCGTCCGCTTGGTAGGCGACCTCCACTTCGAGCATCTCGACGCCCTGCGGCGCCCCGTCGTCGTCCTTGACGCGCGCCAGGACCCGTGCACCAGCCCACAGCGGCAGCCCCGGCACCAGGTCGCCGTTCAGCGCCGCGTCGAGCCAGGCCCCTCTCGGGAAGGGCCACCCGGCGGCACCCGGGGCTGCCCGCTCCATCGGGCTCCTCGCCAGCAGCGGCGCGGGAGAGGGGCGACCCGCGCCCGGGATCCTCGTCTCCCAGCCAGGTCTTCGCTCCCCTCAGCCCGCAAAGTCTGCCAGCGAGGCTGATCAGAATCAGTCGTCCGAGCGTGGCCTGCACGCGGCCGCGCTCGGCGCGGCGAACTTTCAGTAGACAGAGTGGCTCGGCAGCGGCCACAGACGGGCGGCACCGCCCGGTGACTCCGCTGCCTGTCTCGAGCCAACACAGCTACGGCAGATGGATGAAACTCAACCGTTATCCATCAACGGCGTCGCGCACGCTCAGGTGGACTCCGCATAGGTTTCCTTGAAGGTCATAATATATATATATAATATATATATATATATATATACATATAGTGGGACTCTGACTCGGAGATCCCGCACATCCCCTGACATTTGGCCAGTACCGCGCCTCCCGGCTTCCCGGGGGACCCCCAAGACGCCCAAAGACAGCCCAAGACGACCCTAAGGAGCCCCCAGAGCGTAAAGAACGGCCCAACACGCTCCCGCGCAGCCCGAGACACGGCTCTCCAGGCCTACAGGAGGCCTCCAGAACCCCCAGGGGGTCCGGAAGAACCAACACCCCTGAGGAGCCGGGCTAACAAAACCCACGAGGCACAAACAAAACACAGCGCCGAACGACGCCGAGGAATTGGAAAAAATTGACATCCCACAATTCCTTTTTCCCCATATCCTAAGATGGGGTTCTTGTTATTACTTGGACGCCTCCTACTCCCTCTCCTCATTCCTCCTCCTCTTTCCTCCTCCCCTCGTGTCGGAACTCATACCCAGACTTACTCATACACAGACTTACTCATACACAGACTTACTCAGACTTATTCAACACACATCAGATTTGGAGGATGTCTCAAGCGGGGCGCTGGTTTCAGCACCCCTAAGGGGAGCCGCCAGGGGTGGTTGCACGGGCTCGTTCGCGGCCATTTTGTGGGGATGTCTCAGGCGGTTTGCTTGTTTCTGGGCCCAACATCCTTCGCTTGGAGAGCAGATTGTGAGGATGTCTCAGGCGGGGCGCTGGTTTCAGCACCCCTAAGGGGAGCCGCCAGGGGTGTTTGCACGGGCTCGTTCGCGGCCATTTTGTGGGGATGTCTCAGGCGGTTTGCTTGTTTCTGGGCCCAACATCCTTCGCTTTCGGAGCAGATTTGGAGGATGTCTCGAGCGAGGCGCTCATTTTCACCCCCCAGGTGGGCCAGATTTTGAGGATGTCTCGATCGGTTTGTTTGTTTTGGTGGCCAGGCTCGTGGGCGCAGATTCTTCTCAGGATGCCACAGGAGGCTCCCATCAGATTTGGAGGATGTCTCAAGCGGGGCGCTGGTTTCAGCACCCCTAAGGGGAGCCGCCAGGGGTGGTTGCACGGGCTCGTTCGCGGCCATTTTGTGGGGATGTCTCAGGCGGTTTATGCTTCTTGGCTCATCATCCTTCGCTGGAAGAGCAGATTGTGAGGATGTCTCAGGCGGGGCGCTGTTTTCAGCACCCCTAATGGGAGCAGCCAAGAGGTATGACACGGTCCCGTTCGCGGCCGTTTTGTGGGGATGTCTCAAGCGGTTTGCCTGTTTTCTGTCCCAGCATCTTTCGCTTCCGGAGCAGATTTGGAGGATGTTTCGAGCGAGGCGCTCATTTCACCCCCCAGGTGGGCCAGATGTTGAGGATGTCTCGATCGGTTTGCTTGTTTTGGTGGCCAGGCTCGTGGGCGCAGATTCTTCTCAGGATGCCACAGGAGGCTCCAACAGGCTCCAGGATGCCCCAGGAGACCACATGAGGTCCCAGGAGGCATCAGGAGGCCACAGAAAAACTCAAGATGCCACAGGATGTCCCAAGAGGCTCCAGGAGGCCCCAGGAAGCTCCAGAAGGCCTCAGGAAACCACAGGAGGCCCCAGGAGGCAACAGGAAGCGCCAGGAGGCCTCGGAAGGCAACAGGAGGCCCCGAGAGGCCCCAGGAGCAGGAGGCCTCAGACGGCAACAGGAGTGGCTCCAATCCCATGTGTTTTACGTATGCTCCTATCGATTGGGCCTCACCTGGAGCACGATTCTTTGATTTTCTACGTATGTTTCTATAGATGGTCCTTCTCCTGTGTACACAATCCTAAATGTTTTACTCATGTTCCTATGTATTGGGCCTCTCCTGGGGCACGAATCCTTGGTGTTTTACGCGTGTTCCTATAGATTGCCCTTCTCCTGTGGCTCTAATCCGCCATGTTTTATGTACGTCTGTTGCTATAGATTGCGTTATATAGATTGCGCCTC